TTGAGCATAGAGCGATGGAACACAGGATGCACTTTCAAAGAAGGAGGTAAACGCAAACGGAAAGCCACAGGCAAAATCTGCTTGACAATAGGGTAGGGTCCCACATAACGAGGCGCAAACTTGCCCCCAGACGGCTTGAGATGCTTGGAAGAGAGCCAAACCAAATCCCCCTCCTGGAGCTCAGCACCCGCCTGCCGATGTTTATCAGCTTGTGCTTTCTGAGCATCCTTAGCTTCCACAAGAATACGCCGGGCAACATCATGCAAAGCAAGAAATTCGTTAGAACGGTACACAGGGTCCGTGGAAACAATGTCATGCACCGGAGCCGACCCCCACCTAGGCTGCATACCATAAACCAACTCAAAAGGGGAATGGCGACTGACGGCATGGGTAGCATTGTTGTAGGCGAATTCAGCCACAGGAAGCCACTGCACCCAATCCCCAGCTTGCTGTAAACAAAAACAACGCAAATACTGTTCCAAAAGGCCATTCACACGTTCCGTCTGGCCATCAGTCTGCGGATGAAAAGCAGAAGAGATATTGAGCTTCGTGCCCATCTGGGCCTGGAACTGCTTCCAGAATCGCGACACGAACTGAGGGGCGCGATCTGAAATTATAGTGTCCGGAGCCCCATGTAACTTAAACACATGCTTCATAAAGAGCTGGGCCAACCCAGGTGCTGTGCGAACTTTCGCACACGGAACAAAATGAGCCATTTTAGAAAACAAGTCCACTACTACCCAAATACAGGCGTATCCCCGTGCCCTGGGGAGATCAGTAATGAAGTCCATAGAAATGACCTGCCAAGGTCTCTCAGGCACCGGCAAAGGGGATAACAGGCCACTAGGCCTTCCAGGAGCATGTTTACATTGCTGGCAGACGGCACAACTGTCACAGTACTGTAAAATGTCCTGCCTCATTTTTGGCCACCAAAAATTTCTAGTGATTAGTTGCACGGTCTTAAACCTCCCAAAATGACCTGCAGCCGGTTCATCATGGTGGGATCTAAGAATCTCAAGGCGTAAACTACCTGCAGGAACGTAGAGCTGCTCTCTGCGCAACAAAATCCCACCCTCATTGCGAAGATTAGGGAGTACAGACTTCTGGCCATTTGCTAACAAGGTGAGCTGTTCTTGAGTCCAAATGTCCTCAGCTTGCGCTGCTTTGACCTGGTCACAAAGATCACCCGCACCCTCCATTAAATTGAGAGCCGCTGTAGGTAACACAGTCTGCAGGAC